TATATGTATGTATTTTTACCAATCAGGAAATTGGTTTGTCTATCATTGCTACTATAATCGGTTTCGAGTTGGAGGAAGGATGGTATTCTTTTTATTGTCGTGACTGTTCAAAAAAGGTAACTAAAAATGCTGATGATAGTGATGGTGAACCATTTAATTGTAATGGTTGCGGAGAAGTTTCTGATGTATTCAGCAAGTAAGTTCATAATTTTACATTTGTAAACTTCTTGTCTCATGAATCTTTATTACAATGTTTCAATTTTTATTTCATTGTCCATTAACGTGTCATACAATAATATTTAGGGTAAGGGTCGTAATACGTGTTCAAGATGAAACTGGGTCTGCTTCTTTTGTATTGTTTGACAGTCATGTTAAAGATCTTATTCACCGCGGTAATCATTGGTTGAAGGAAAAGATATCAAATGTAGCGTTATATTATACTATTCTATTAATTTGTACACACGACAAGTTAACTATATATTGTTATTGCATTTTATTTCAATCGAGATTTATTAACTACTCACATGTTTTATTATAATATTCTTTAGGATCAAGGACGCCAAAAGATCCCTGATGAGTTCAATATGATGCTTAATAGGAAGTTTGTTTTTAAAGTTCAGATTTCAAAGTTTAATCTCGAGAACAATTATCACGCCTACACCGTTCATAAGATGACTAATGATGAACTTGTAGTTGGTGCAGTTTTCAAACATTCACCTGCATACGAAGAAAACAATATTCATTCTAATGGTACTCCTATCAACAAGTCTATTAAGGTAAAATTAAATTCATATAATTTAACATTTTAACATTGTTAATAAACATTTATTCTTGATGCGGTGACAATATTAATGTTGTTAATTAACATTGTTTTATTAATTTGATACAGGAAAAGAGTGTTTCTGTTGAAGGCGACAATATTAATGTTGTTGATCTTGATGTGGTGACACCGACAACTACTTCACTGAAACGCCCTACTGAGATTGTTACCACCACTGAATCGTTTGAATGGTCTTCCTCAAAAGATGGTGTTGCTCCTCATACCCTTAAGATTCCAAAAATGGAAAAACTCGAATATATTTAGCAGTTATGATTATTTGACATTTATCATTGACGATTTTTCTTTGACTTTTTATTATTTGCTTAAGGATTTCTTTTACAAGTACGTTGTTTTCATTTTGAAGATTATATTTGTTTTCATTTAATTATAACACGATAGTAGTCGTGTTATTTGAGACAAGTTCATAATTATGTTGAATTCTTTTTATGAATTTTAACTTTTACATCTTTTGATATATTTTCGCCTCAACTTATGTTACAAACTATGTTGACCAAGTCTATTATTGTCAATTTGTTTTAAGTTTAAATAACAAACTATGTTGACCAAGTTTATTATTGTCAATTTATTTTAAGTTTAAAGGTAATATTCTTAATCTTTGGCTTAAGCCACTGACTTTGTTATTCCACAAACAAGATTTTATAACAATAATTTTTTTTATTGTTCGTAACAAACTATGTTCGACATGCAATTCTATAAAAAAACAAAAATAGCATACCTGCAATGACAAACAAATAATTGAATAAAATACATGGCATTTCCAAATGAAATGTGTCTTTAATAAGAAAATGAAAATACAATGTCTTAATTTGTACCCTTTTCAAAATAAAATGCTTACATATAAACAATATGTAGTAGGGGCTGTTTGGTATTAAATATAAAGTCATGAAGCCGATTTGGTAAATAATATATTCTTGGGCACAATATGTAGTAGGGGTTGTTTGGTATTAAATGTAAAGTCATGAAGCCGATTTGGTAAATAATATATTCTTGGGCTGTTATAAAAATTATCATTTTTTCCAAACTAACCATCAACATTAACCTAATTTTAAATTTTAAAAAATAATCCTAAAATGTTCTACATTATCTATCCTAACCAAGGTTCTAAAAAGCTCGTCATGACTCCGCCATGGCTCCAAGGCTTATGCCTGCCGCCAAGCTTTACCAAAACGCCGCCTTAACTCATATATGTGTATAAAATAGAATAATAGTTGAAAATACATATAAAAATATTAATTATATACAAAATTGCCGCCTTAAGTCACGCCTTACAAACGACATGGCTCGCCAAGGCTCGGAAAAGCTTGAGGCTTGACATTGCCGCAAAGTCACGCCTTACGTTATTTAGAACCTTGATCCTAACTACATTTTGAAATTCAACATTTAAGGGATAAGATAAAAATGACTTTTATCTTATCCCTCCAAAACCAACTTGGATTCAATACATATATATGACATATTCCGCCAAAATCCATTTTTATTTTTAATTCCACGCTCCTGCAAATAGTGAGTTTTTATTGTGTTTTATCTATGTAGAATACATTTAAAAAAAAATCAATGATCCACTAAAATATTATTTATTATATATAGAATATAATAAATTAAATGTAATAATCCAATAAAAAAACCTAATAATTTTTTTTTTTAAAAAAAATAATCCAATAAAAAAATTTTAAAAAATAGTTAAAAGAAATTAATAATATAATATTTATTAATATATAAATATTATATATTAAAAATAGAATTAACTGATATATAATAATCAGATAAAAAATTAATCCAATAAAATAAAATTAAAAAAAAAATTAATGTTCAATAAAATTAAAAAAAAAATTAATATATAATAATTCAACAAATTTAAAAAGAAAAATTGCAGAAATAGTCCTTATAATTTGGTAAAAAGAGATAACTGCAAAAATGGTCCCTGAGGGTAAAATTGTCATTTTTAAAAGAGTTAACAACCAAATGTTAAAGTTAACGAAATAGGGACCAAAACCACAGCTAAACCATCAAATAAGGACCTTTTTTGCTAATAATTTTTTTTGGACCTTACCCAAAGAAATTGGCAAACCACAGGGACCATTTTTGCAATTTTGTCTTTTATGTCTTGAAAATATTTCCATAAATTTGTTTCTGAAATAGTTTTTTATTTGCTGATATGTTGAAGCAAGAACAGTGATGAACAACTTTGCTCATATTTTTTGACATTTTAACACGCTTGTTACATGTTACTAGCTTAAGAATATTATTTTTGAAATTTTATTACGGAAGTTTTTATTATTATTCCATGTATTATAAAAACATCAACTATTTGATAAAAGTCTTTAATGAATTTAATGTTTTAATTTATGTTTTTGTGTTCATTATTATTCAAAAATATCATAAAGGCATCTGTTTTGTGTAGAAAAAATTATCAATTCAACACTACCATTACATATGAATTTTGGAGTTTACTTGTAGTTTGCAAATAACTCCGACATGAAACCTCCCTCTAAAGTCGGAGGAAAGATGGTAATTGTCAACCTTAAGGTATTTACTCAATTGTTTAAAATATCCTTAGCCTATATTTTTACAATTATTTATTTATTTGTGGGTTTTAATGATTCTAAACCTTCTATTTATTGAATCAGTCGAGGTATGACTCACATCCATTTAACAAAATACAATGTACTTTCCTTTGTTTATGTGTTATAGCATTGTCCTTTTAAATGTTTTCTTATGAAGCCATTGTACTTTGAAAAAATAAAGTGGAATATTATAATAATAAATAAATCAATGAAAGTACATTGTTTTCCTTGCATTTAACCTATACTCCATTTAATCTATTAACAGAGAGACCGGAACTAAAAACCGTTGAAACACTACAACATCCGTTTTTGCTGAAAAGCTTTTATTTAATTATATACATTCAAAATAAGTCGATGTATCTTGAATAGGTGACATATTAGATTATTTTATTTGAAAACATTATATTGATATTTTAGTTGATGATTGCATATTGAACTTATGTACGGAAGCTTCACAGTTGAGAATAAAAGGGACATTGATACTTCATGAAGCCGATTATTAACCACATATATAAACCAGAAATCAGAAGTTTAAATTGATTATTACTAGAGACGTAGATGAAATCAGCTCGACAACAGAAAAGAGGTGGGATTATCGAGAAAACACAACCCCGAACACCTCCTTCCTCGCATAATTGTTGGATCAGAAAAGAAAGAACAGTCTAGAGGCCTCCGGAGCAACCATGCGACTGTTACTATCCTTCTCAATCTCTACACCCCAATTGAAGGCCGGATCGTTGTAGATCAGTTTCAATCCCATCCTCCACCTTACCGGTCGACTTTAAAGCCAAACACCCTCTCTTAAGTCGCTAATCCGCCTTGGCCCTTTTCCCTTTCGCGTTTTCTGTCGGACAGGAGGAGTGCAGCCTCCCTCGCCACCACAGATGACAGCGACCACCACAGTTGCCGCCGGTGATGAAGATTAAACCCAGAAAGGGTCGCCGATCAAGACGGACCCCCTTCTCCCTCCTCGCAATTTTTGATCCACCCCAGACAACCTCTCTTGCTGCTTCGTCTGTTCTTTTCTCAATCTGATGAAAACGAAGGCGCCTCCCCTTTTTGATTTTTGATCCACCACCAAACGACCTCTCTTGTGTGTTTTTCCTTCAGTTGCACAGGTTTAGAAGAAGGAGGATTTTACGATAGAAGTCATCTCCACCACGATTTCACCCTCCGACGACTTCCATGAGGATAAATGAGAGAGCTCTTTTATTTTTTAATTATTAAAAAAATAAATAGGTATTAATTTTTTTTAAAAGAGGGATATTTTTTTTCAGGTGCAAAAATAGTCCCTTAGAAGTGAAAAGACAAATATACCCTCATGTGAAAGGCAAATGAGGGGTTAACAACAACAAGTTAACGGAAATTAAGTCCGGGGACCAATTTCACATACAAACTACTCCAAATAAACTGTGAATACAAAAAACTCGGGGTTTGGACTAAAACCCCAAAAATTTGCAGACCATTTTTGAAATTTTGTCTTGTTATTATTGTTTGTTATCTATAATCTAAGGTTCTATGCAGAGTGAACTTGGCGGTAAGGCCAAACCTAAGCCATGACGAGCCTCAAGGCGTGGCAATTTCATATATATTAAAAAAGATAAATCATATAATTATAGAATTATATCAAATATATCAAGTTTTTAGAAATGTTATATTATCATTTAATATAATTTTTTAACAAAAATTCAATTGTTTTAGGCTCGATCAGAAAAAGGAAAAAAAAACACGCGTCTTAAAAAGAACTCGCGCCATAACGCGATAAGACGCACCTTGACACGCTACTTGTGTGTCGCGTTTAACAAACTCGTCTTAGACATTTTCGTAACGGCTATACAACGCCGGGGTCGTCTCAATCAGTTAGGGGGCTCTAAGCGAACCAAAAGTTGGGGCCCTTTCATAAATACAATTAAAGTCATTTTAATTTTGTTCATTATTAATTTCAACATTAGACATAATTTTTCTTTTCCTTTTTAATTGAAGCTCCTTATTCAAATTTTCTCTTAGACATAATTTTTCTTTTCCTTTGACAACAACTATCACCAAAACAATAAAAAGCCAAATGGAAAGTAAATAAGTTATTAACAGATTATAGATTGGAAATACCTACTTTACCTGCTTGGCAAAGTGAGTTCTTGACAATTCTTGAGTCTTGACAACTGAAATTCATTCCAACAATCCAACCAAAATCGTTCCAATATCCAAAATCAAAAGCTGATTCCAATATCCAATATCTAAAGTCCAAACCTAATTCAAAAATCCAACTTGACACAGTCAAAATTAAAAAAAATTAAGTCATATTAACCCTAATAGATAGTCTAATCGAAAAAGAAGAATCAGCAATTGAGTTATCTAATAATGGAATATGGAGAAATAAAGAATCAAAGGAAGAACATACCGCTTCAGATTCAAGAATGGACTTATGTAGAATCGATTTTTGAGCAGTCAAGATTCAAGAAGCGTTTTTTCGATTTTTGATCAAATTAAGATTCAAGAATCGATTATTTTTCAGACTTCTGAGCCAGGAAGAAGAAGAAATCGAGAACATATAAGAAGAGCAGTCGTTTAGAATTCAATTGGGAATCGACGTGCGTGTCCGCGAATGGAGAATAGGAAAATCGGCATTCGTCCCTTAACTAATCGACATTTGGGTTAAGGTTAAGTGGGGCCCCTTAAGAT